ACCACAAAAGTTACGTGAAAACACACACTGTTATAAAACAATTATCAGTCACAATTACCTATATTTTTCAAATGACAATGTAACCAAATATAAGCCACTTAGGCAGACGTGAACAACTCTAAAAACACAATTCTGCCTTTCATTCAGTCAGATAACATTGAAAAAACTGTATACAATACCTTAAATTTCCATGAGTTAAATATATTTGCCTCATGAACATTTTAAACATGAGTTATAAGTAATGCAACGTGGTCTGTTATCATTAAACTTTAAAACAAGTGAATTTTGCCCTTGTCTTTTACAAGATCTTTCAGAAAGCACGAGTTTGTGTCATATCTACAGGTACATATCAACAGTTATAACCAAATCTTATTCAAGAGTTTAATAAAACAAGTGCCATAAGTCCAAGTACATTAGTGTGCTTTAGGCTTTTCACTGTTAATAGTGACAGATGTTACCGTTCAAAACACTCAATTTCAGATTGATCAAGGAACAGATAACTTGCTGACACTAATGAGATGGGTGATACTGAGATCTAGATTTCAGAAAAGAGACCAGGTCTGGCTTGAGGGCAGTGGTTGAGATGCGTAAAATGCCACGCAAGTGGGAGTCACTCATCCTTGACCTCAATTGGTTCTTGTTTAAGTACATGACTGAGAATGTTTGCTCACACAAATGTGGAGCCGAATAAGCTCAGCATTTTCTTAGCAAATGACCGCATTTCTGGAAACCTGCTTTTGTCCAGCTGCCGGTAAAAGTTAACAAGAGAACATTGCTGGTGTTTCCCGCGGCACTCATCGTTAAACTGCAGCTCAATGAGCTCCAGCTGCAGCTGTGGAGGAGCATCATCAGAGTCCACGGAGAAGGGAGAAGAGAAAAGCAACATGTCCTTTTCAATAACTGCAAAGTCCCGAAAGCGTTTGTTAAATTCCACAGAAAGAAATGCGATAGCTGTTGCATAACTCTTCATTTGCGCACCGATGTTGTCCTGTGGAAAACGGTCAATGACCTCTTTCAAAGCTGGGAAGTGCGCAGTGCAGGGCTCTGTTTGAGACAAGTGTCTTTGGAAAAGTTGCAGTTTGGTTCCAAAGGCCATGATGTGAGCATATAGCTGGCTCACCACTGCATCTTTTCCTTGAAGATTAACATGCTTCGTTGTCAACCAAAAAAGCCAGATTTGCCAGCCATACAGGATCGGACAGTTCTTCCATTGGTTGTCCCTTCTCACCCAAAAAATGTCCAATTTCCTCTTTGAGAGAGAAAAATCGCTGCAGTGCGGACCCCCGACTTAGCCACCTCACATCGTTGTGATATATTACGTCACCGTATTCAGCCTGGATGTCACGCAAGAACTGCTGAAACTGTCGGTGGTATAGAGCTTTAGAGCGAATAGAATTGATTGCCTTTGCCACTGGTTTCATAACATCGTCAAATTTGAGATGTTTGGCGCAGAGAGCCTGCTTGTGAATGATACGGTGAAGTTAAATAGCGTTGCCTGCTTCTTCGCTGACTTTATTGCAGATCAGTGTGATCCCAGAAACTTTACTCCATTGTAGTTTCATATCATCAACAGCTTCACAAACAGAAACGAATACATCTGTTCCTCTGGTTTGCCCTTTAAGGCTTTTGAGGTCAAGCAGCTCCTCTGTCACGTTCATGTTGTCATCAACTCCTCTTAAAAAATAAGTAGTTGTGCAGTGTCAGATACATTGGTGCTTTCATCGCAGGCTAATGAGAAATAATCAAAAGCCACTCCCCTGTCCCCCAGTTGTCTCTGAATATCTGACGATATGTCCTCAACTCTCCGTGCCACAGTGTTGCGTACCAGGCAAACATTCATAAATTCTTGCTTCTTCTCGGGGCAAATGTTCTCCACCATTTTCATGACACAGTCTTTGATAAATGCTCCTTCAGTAAAAGGTTTGCCATGTTTAGCTATTAACATGGCCACTTCGTAGCTGGCTTTGGTGATGTTTTCCTTTGACTCACAGGCCGGCGTGAACAATCGCTGTTGCGATGCCAGAGCAGCTTGGAGTTGCTTTACTTTTTCAGCGCAGTCACTCCCTGTTAGCTTGTCGTATGTTGTAGCATGTTTAGTCTTGTAGTGTCTCTTTACGTTAAAATCCTTAAACAAGGCATCCGTCTCTTTACAAATTAGACAAACACAATTTCCTCGATTTCCAGTGAAGAAGTATTGTAATTCCCACTGCTATGGCAGAAATGATTCGAGAAGGGTTCGCGGCACGGATGCAGAGCCAGAGAGCATTAGAATGGTGCTGCCACCGTGTGGTGGAAGGAGGAATTACATCTTTAAAGTTTTATGATTTATTTATTCTGACAGAGCTAGCGAGCCATAAATAACACATTATAAGACCGAAGCTGCGGGCCGTATGAAATCTGACCGCAAGCCGTGATTGGCCCACGGGCCGGACTTTGGACATGCCTGCTCTACTCTATGGCTCCTTCACGCTGTTGGCTGACAGCGTGAGAGGGAGAGAGACTGCCGCGGCCCGCAACGTGGCAGGCTCCGGACCACGGCACCAGCGTGGCGGCTTCCACCTTCGTTCCTTCAAGCTCTGACCACATGCTGTCTGTCTCCGCCCATTTTAATCCCTGGCCCACGTGATGCCCCGCAGCCAATCCTCAGCCACATCCCTGGAACTTTCCAGAGCCCCCTGTACGGCCCCAGGGCCACGCCCCTGGCTCGACTCCCCATTGGTTACGGGCTGAAGCCGGCAGAGCCAATCATCATCCTACAGGCGTAGTCTTCGCATTACATCAGGGCCACGCCCCTGGCTCGACTCCCCATTGGTTGTGGGCTGAGGCCAGCAGAGCCCATCATTATCATCTTCCAGGTGTAACCAATTAATCATCCAGGTGTAACCCATTAACCATCCAGGTGTAACCCATTTACCATCCAGGTGTAACCCATTTACCATTCAGGTGTAACCTCACATTACATCAACCCCCCCCCCCCTCCCCCCCGTGTAAAAAGTCAGCCGTCTCGGCTGAGAAAAGGGCGATGCGCTAACCCCTGCAACTAACATTTAGGGCGCCAATGACGCGTAAGATTGTTAGGGCGCCGAACAACGCGCGGTCGAAAATTAACATTATTAAGGGCACGGAACCAACGTGCGATGTAGGAGCGACACAACATTAGGGCACCAACTGTAGCGCGACGTAACGGAAGGGGTTACAGGTACAACATGGCAACGGCGTTAACGAAACGGGAGCGACTTCGATCGCGTGCCACGACGCCGGTCCCTCTGCCCCCACGGAGCGTGGTCGTCTCGCCGACTGCTCAGCAGGAGGGGGCAGCGGAGGAGCGGGTTTAACGTCCTCCGTGGACGGAACGAGCCTCGTCGGAGGCTGCTCGACAGGGGCCTCGACGCTCTGCAAGGCCTGTGTGTCTGCGGGGGGTAGAATACGTCCCCCCGCTCGTCCAGGCGATGTTTCTCATGGGATATAATAAGCGACAACATTTGGACCCCAAACCGAGAGGATTCTGGGATGTTTGTGCTTTTTTGGCAATAACTCTGGAAGGAAACGTCGCAGACCCATCAAGGTGGTACTCATACTGCTCGCCTCGTCGAGCGGCAAATATATGAGTGGTTTAGCTGTGGGAAGTGAAATGGACGAGCGACCCTTGAATAGTGCCCGGCACCGTGGAGGACCCCAATGCGGCTGCAACCACCCTTCGAGACAATTTCTTCCACCGAGCAACCGTGTGCGGTACCGAATCAGCATGCCGACAATTAACATCCGATAAGCCTACGGGGGTGCGAGTGGATGCCTGAGGTTTTGGGGCCTGCCGGGTGCCCGACGCCTGCCGACTTGCCCGAGAATGATGTCGATCCGCGTCCGGTGGAAGAGATGAAGGGCCGACAGGAGCTGCGGAGGTCTTAACCGCCTCCGACAATCGCGGGCCAAGTGGCCCATCTTCTTGGTTCTTTCGGTAAAGTCACCACGTAAAATGGAAGTATTAAAATAATAAAAATAAAACATAATAAAATAATTCTCACGACGTTTCGGCCACAACGCAAGCAGCCGTCCTCAGGTGAAGACCAGGTCTGTCGGGGAAACAGCATCTGAATGAAACAACACCACGCTGTCTCCCCGACAGACCTGGTCTTCACCTGAGGACGGCTGCTTGCGTTGTGGCCGGAACGTCGTAAGAATGACTTTATTATGTTTTATTTTTATCATTTTATTACTTCCCTTCTACGTGACTTTACCGAAAGAACCAAGAAGATGAATCCCTGTAGTCACGAAAGCTTTAAATCGAAACCAAGTGGCCCAGTCGGCCACACTTGAAGCATGTGGCGGCCGCCCGACGGTCGGTCGCCTCGGCCCCCGCTCGTGACCGTCCGGCCCCGTCGTGCCACGTGTCCTGCCGGCGTTGCGGGGTCCAGCGAGGAGCAGCAGCCACCAAGTCGTCATCGCTGGACTCTTTCGGAATGTGCACGACGCGACGCGGGGCCCATCCCAGCGGTTCACCGTCCTTTTTGGGGTCCCCCGTCCTCGCCGCCATTTGGTGCCAACGTCGCAAATTGAATTTGGCGTCTAAACATCGCGCCGCCCAGCGAGACGTCAGCAGCTCATGGCCGCACACCGGCAGCGAGATGCTCAACTCTTGCGATAGCTCAATCATTCTTGCAAGAATGAGAGGGTCCAGGAGGTCGGCGGAAGACTCGGGGTAGGCGGCCATGGCGAGCGCTAATAGCGCACCACGGGACGCCAGAGGCGTTTCTTCCGACCCCCGACGTCGCTGCATGATTTTTCTGTGGGCAGCCGATGGCGGCTCGTAAAATTCCGCCATTTCAGCGAAGGCGTCCTTAAGCGTCTTCTTCCTACTCGCCGGGATGGAGCGGAAAACGGCCAGGGACACGTCGTCCAACAGCGTAGGTAGAGCCTCAAGTGCCTCGGAGTCCGTCCACCGCACCGATCGGAAGGCGGATTCGAATCTCCACGTAAAAGCGCTCCAGTCACCTCTGGCGACAAATTATTTAATATTAAGGAGGCGATGGCTGCGGCCACCATCAAGAGTCCTTGGACGTGCTCGTTCCCGCCACCCGCGCAGCACGCGGCTCCGCCAAGATGGCGGCCACAGGCAGCGTGGCAGCAAACCCAGCCCAAGATGGCGGCCTCCTCCGCAGCAGGTGTAATGGCGGTTACAGCCCCCCGTTGGAGGTCAAGGTCGTCCGCACTTGGACTCGTCTCACGAGGCCGACCCAGGGGGGCAGACGACGCGACCACCGTGACGAGATTGAGCATCACCGCACGGAGAGTCTCAATCTGTTCCGCCACTCGTCACCACCCTTCGTCCGCAGCTGGAGTCGCCTCCGCGCCGGCCTGTCGTTTTTGGCGCGGCGGCGGGGAGAGCAGCAGTCGGCGGCAGCGGTCCCGTTGCGCCCAGAAGCTCGTCCTCATCGGCATCGTCGTCGTCGTCTGACGGCGGGTCCGGTGAGTTCCTCTTTTTGAGGTGCTTGGACCTCGTGGATGATGGTCCAAGCGGTCTAAAAATGTACTTCCGACTCCAATGTAATAAACCCCATTGAAACGCTGGGAATTGAGAATTCTTTATTAAGTTTCGTTCACCGCTTTCACTACATTTGTTCCTCCACTTCTCTTGCTCCCTCTCACGCTATTAAAGGTGCATTGAAAAATTATAATACTCCGATTGATGCTCCTGCTGTTGTGGAGTGACTCATGCAGCCAGCTATAGCTGCAGGGTTTTGGTAGTACATGCTGTTTATTGTGAAAATTCCGTCACAGTTCCTATGATCACTGTTTCATTGCTTTCATGGCTTTATTTTGATTTCGAAAAGTGTATTGGTTTAGACATGTTTGTTTGTTGTAGTACAGTTAGACTGATGGCCTTAATCTAAGTTGTATTGTGGTTGTTATTGTTTGACTTGCATCCCACTGGAATGTTTGCACACAGCGTTGGTGTACGGTGTTTTTTCTGCAATATTTTGCTGTCTCTTCTTGGATTTTCTGTTTTCACTTAGTCACATATTCACTTTAAGATGTTTTCTTGTACATGTTTTTGTTTTCTGTTTGTTGAGGTTGCACCCAATTCAAGAGCCGAATGGCTCGCAGGGCTATACCTAATAAATGAACTTGAACTTGTTGGCTGACAGCATGAGAGGCAGAGAGACAGAGACTGCCGCGGCCCGCCACGTGGCAGGCTCCGGACCACGGCACCAGCCACGTGGCTTCCCCCTTCGTTCCTCCGCACACTGACCACGTGCTGTCCTTCTCTGCCCCTTTTAATCCCTGGCCCACGTGATGCCCCGCAGCCAATCCTCAGCCACACCCCTGGAACTTTCCAGAAGCTACTGTACAGCTCCAGGGCCACGCCCCTGGCTTGACTCCCCATTGGTTGCGGGTTGAAGCCAGCAGAGCCAATCATCATCATCCAGGTGTAACCTCACATTACATTATAACATAGTGAATGCTTGGAAGCTTATTGGCTCTCGCTCCTAGTTAGAGATCTACCCAACCCACAGGTCCACAAATACTGACCGCTCTTACTCTGCAGGTTGAACATAGGAATGGAGTGTTCAACTTCACGTTCTTTTCATTAAAGGCCTGTGACAAATGTGAATCTATTGGAGCTTCATTGTCTCAAGCTTACACATCTACAGGTTCTCCATTTTACTTTGTATTGTTTAAGAAGTCCACCCACACCTCCACTTCCACAAACTGCTGGGAGTTGCCTCGCTCTGCCTCACAGTCAGAATTCTCCTCCTGCTTCACATTGCCTCCATTGATGTGAAGGTCCGATTTTGGAGTTGAATGTTCATCTTCACATTTGACCTTCACTTCTTCGCTCTTCACTGTCACCTCTTCACATTTCACCTTCGCCTCTTCAAATTTCACCTTGATACATTTCATAGTGTCCAAGCTGGTATTTACATCTGGTTCTTTTTTCAGGAGCGATGGGCTCATTGCAGCACTTTGACTTTCAGAATTCGATTTCAGACTACACTCCTTGGGGGTCTTCTGATGCCTGTGTGTTCTCTGGTGTCTATGAAGCTGTGGTGACTGTTCAAACGCCTTCCCGCACATAGTGCACTTGAAGGGTTTCTCTCCTGTGTGTATTCTCTGGTGTATTTTAAGATAAGATGAACTTGAAAATGCCTTCCCACACACACTGCACTTAAAGGGTTTCTCTCCTGTGTGCGTTCTCTGGTGCATTTTAAGATTTGATGACTGTGAAAATGCCATCCCACACACAGTGCACTTGAAAGGTTCATCGCCTGTGTGTGTTCTCTGGTGTATTTTAAGATAAGACGAACTTGAAAATGCCTTCCCACACACACTACACCTGAAAGCTTTCTCTCCCGTGTGTGTTCTCTGGTGGATCTGTAAACCTGATGACCATGTAAATGCCTTCTCACACACAGTGCACTTGAAGGGTTTCTCTCCTGTGTGTGTTCTCTGGTGTATTTTAAAATAAGATGAACTTGAAAATGCCTTCCCACACACAGTGCACTTGAAGGCTTTCTCTCCTGTGTGTGTTTTCTGGTGGGTATGAAGCTGTGGTGACTGTGCAAATGCCTTCCCACACACAGTGCACTTAAAGGGTTTCTCTCCTGTATGTGTTCTCTGGTGTATTTTAAGATAAAATGAACTTGACAATGCCTTGCCACACACAGAGCACTTGAAGGCTTTCTCTCCTGTGTGTGTTCTCTGGTGTTTTTTAAGATAAGATGAACTTGAAAATGCCTTCCCACACACAGCGCACTTGAAGGCTTTCTCTCCTGTGTGTGTTCTCTGATGTTTTTTAAGAGCAGATGAATCTGAAAATGCCTTCCCACACACACTACACCTGAAGGGTTTCTCTCCTGTGTGTGTTCTCTGGTGTATTTTAAGATACAATGAACGTGAAAATGACTTCCCACACACAGTGCACCAAAAGGGTTTCTCTCCTGTGTGTGTTCTCTGGTGTTTTTTAAGATAAAATGAACTTGAAAATGCCTTCTCACACACAGTGCACTTGAAGGGTTTCTCTCCTGTGTGTGTTCTCTGGTGTATTTTAAGATAAGATGAACTTGAAAATGCCTTCTCACATACAGTACACTTGAAGGGTTTCTCTCCTGTGTGTGTTCTCTGGTGTTTTTTAAGATAAGATGAACTTGAAAATGCCTTCCCACACACAGTGCACTTGAAGGGTTTCTCTCCCATTGGAGATCTCTGGTCCTGTGTAAAATTTCCAGTACAATCCATGCTGTTTGCATACTGGTCCCATTGTTGTCTTTGTGTACCGAGCTGCGCTGAGTGCCTTTGCTCCATCAGACCAATTCTGCAGAAAAAGCATCAGAGGAAGCATCAGCTGCAGACTGAAAAAAATGTCCACACCATCTTCATCAGTATCGCGGCACAGAGGAATGAATATATATTTCGATTTAAAGCTTTCGTGACTGCAGGGATTCATCTTCTTGGTTCTTTCGGTAAAGTCACGTAGAAGGGAAGTAATAAAATAATAAAAATAAAACATAATAAAACAATTCTCACGACGTTTCGGCCACAACGCAAGCAGCCGTCCTCAGGTGAAAACCAGGTCCGTCGAGGCGACAGAGTCTGAATGAAACAGCACACGGGCTTAGAGCATATATATAAGCTGGGCGCATTGACAAAGGAATTTGCATATCAACAGGAATTTAGCATATTTATGGGAAATGCAGGAATGTAATTAGTACTGCATATGCATGTGCATTATAAGATAAGATGAACTTGCATAATGCACATGCATATGCAGTACTAATTACATTCCTGCATTTCCCATAAATATGCTAAATTCCTGTTGATATGCAAATTCCTTTGTCAATGCGCCCAGCTTATATATATGCTCTAAGCCCGTGTGCTGTTTCATTCAGACTCTGTCGCCTCGACGGACCTGGTTTTCACCTGAGGACGGCTGCTTGCGTTGTGGCCGAAACGTCGTGAGAATTGTTTTATTATGTTTTATTTTTATTATTTTATTACTTCCCTTCTACGTGACTTTACCGAAAGAACCAAAAAAATGAATATATACACAATCACACATGACTTACACGTCTATATTTATTCATATATTCAAGATTATCCCCAATTCATCACACGGGCTGTTAAGACACACAATGAGAGGGCAAAAGGTTATAAATATGCCTGGAAGCCCTAGTATCTTCAAAATAAATGTTCACCCAAAACACCAAGCACACAATTTCGGCAGCCTGGCTGCAAAAGTAGTATTTATAAAAGCAAATATCAGCTAACATAGCAAAGGCTGTTAGGAATAATACTATTTGTATTATGCAGAAATACATCAATAAATGTTCAATCGCAACTTTAGAGGTGTGAAGCCAGGCTCAGATTTGCTTGAATGCTTGGATGAACAGATCTAACTTCAGCAGCATGTGTGCTGTTAATTTCCTGTTTCCATTCTTCCAAAAAGTTCCAAAAGTTAAACGATCGTTTTGATTTAACCTCCATGTTCAATAGTTAATATAATTTACTGCAAATACAAACTTGACACTGTCACACACTGGCATGGTAAAGTGGTGGTGTGTCCAGAACCATGCCTGGCCGCCTTCTTCTGCTCAGTATTGACGCTTCCTCACTTCATCATGTAATTAATTTAAGATCAATCAACATAGCAGAGGCCCACAAGCAGTTCAGCTTTCACTTATCAATCATGTTTACTGTCGGTGATAATCAAACTAATTGTTGAGTTCATAATGCAGTGAAATAACTCCACCACAGCTCCACACAAAGATAAACTCTTAAATACACGTACATTCCACATGCATCATTAACAGATATAAACAAATATCCACCATTCATGACGAATTGCAAGTAACCTTATCCCAGTGCTAATGCCATGATAGGTGCAATTTAAGGCCATGTAAGTGTGGATTCCTTGTCAGCAGATAATGGGAATGATCCAGGTGTCAAGGGATGACTGACAGATGAACCAGTTGTGCTCCCCACTGTCTTGCTGGGTTTTAGGAACACAGCGTTCCACCTATTCATGTGTGCGTCGCTCTTCCGACATCATCGTTGTTGCAAAGAAAATATCTATTAACTGCCCTGCAGCATACCTGCAGAGCAGTTAATATGGTGTTGGACGAGATGACGCCAAAAGGCGTACAACTCAAAAAAGGTGTCAGTTTTGTTGCCAGATAAAAGGCTAAAAAAAACAATTATCATATTTTGCTACTGGCAAAGGAGGTTCCAATGGTGTAAATGCTTACCCCGAGCTCTCATACTCTGATGGGGCATTGTCTTTGAGTTGTACGCCTTTTGGCGTCATCTAGTCCAACACCATGTGAGACGAGGCTCTAAGAAAAGCTGTCTCGGGTGGGGACCAATCAATTCCAAGTGCAGTGAAAACATTATCAGAGTTGTGTTTTTTATTCGCATTCTGACCGCAGGTATTGTGGTCAATGCAAACATGACTCCTTGTAAAAAAATGTGTCAGTTTTGTTGCCAGATAAAAGGGTAAAAAAAACAATTATCATATTTTGCTACTGGCAAAGGAGGTTCCAATGGTGTAATGGGAGCTTATCAAACTACGTAGTTATTTATTGATTTAAAGCTTTCTTGACTGCAGGAATGAATATTCTTTGGGTCTTTCGGTCAAGTCGCGTTACATAGAAAATAATAGATCACGACGTTTCGATCGCAACACAAGCAATCCTCTTCAGGTGAGAGAAAAAGCTGCTGAGACAAGGTCTTATATAGGCCTGAGATGGGTGCATCAAGGTAGGTGGGTGGAGCTAGAGATGGTCCAACCAATTGAAATAAACACGGAGAAACCGTATACAAAAAATATCCCAAAACAAAAATTGAGTACAAATCTGTAAATGATAAAAGGGGAAAAGCCTCTTCTTATATTTTGCTACTGGCAAAGGAAGTCCCATGATGTAGCTGCTCACCCCGAGCTATCATTGTTCGCCTTTTGGCGCTGTCCTCTGGTCTAACACCGTTTGAGACTAGGCTTGAAAGAAAGCCGTCTCTGGTGTGGACAAAAAAGTTTCATAGACAATGCATTTATTATCACAGCATGTTTCTTCACCATTGGAACCTCATTTGCCAGTAAAAATATGAAAATTGGTTGTTTACCCTTCTATCTGGCAACAAAACTGACACCTTTTTTACAGGCTGTCATGTTTACATAGACCACAATACCTGCAGTCATAATGCATTATCTTAAACAACTACGCTGGTTTGGTCTTCTGCGTGCGTGGACGTACGTATATTTATTTATTTACGGGCCTGCCCAGACAGCTCGCTCTGATTCGATAAAAATAAATAAAACAGCCGGCAAAAAGCCAAAGCTCACTTTCATTCGATAAATATAAATAAATAAACCTGCCGGCCGAGAGCGTCTCTTCGGTCAACAATTGCACCTACTTTCACGCAACACCATATTCAGAGTGATGATCGCAACGGAAAATCTACTGTAGGTACAGTGTTGCTGTTGCACCCGCCGAACACTGCGTCCTGGTGGCGATATCTCGGCAACGAAGAACGTCCGCGGGTGCAACCAAGAACCCTCCAATAATCAGATAGCCACATACATTTTCAATTCCAGAACTTTCAATAAAATCTGTTCATTATTAGTGGTGTTCGGTTCGACGGCCCAGTGGCCAAAACTGACCACTCTTTCGTATGCAGCTCCATCAATATTGCGCCCATTCCCTTGAAACCACTGTGCTTAATCTTTCATTGGCCCGAAACAAGTGTGTGCAAAGTAGCCCAGCACAGTTCACGGCCCTATATATTAAACCAGCGCTCGAGAAATTCTGTCGGTGTCGCCTTCATTCTGTTTGGACAAATAAATTATCCCTTACATTTAATTGCCTGAAAGTGGGCTGCGTGCTTTTTGGCGGCAGCACGCGCCGGTCAGTCAGTCAGTCATCGATTTCCAAACAAGCAGAAGCACACAGAAGGTAAGCGGTGTGTGATAGCATAGGTCTGGCAAGGTCTGCGCCGCAGTGGTGCAGTGCAATGTTGGCGCAGACACTACGCTGTGTGAGTGTGGTGTGTATGCAAGTGTGCGAATGGTAGTTACGGTAATATACGTATATTTATATAAAAATGGGTGCTGCGTGCTGCGATTAGTGGAGTCCCCAAACAACTTTACCTTACGAGTAGGCAGGGGTCGCTATACAGTGAGTCTTAGCGGACTGAGCTGGCAGCTTCACCTGCCGGGACCACAGCCAGTTGCGTAGCGCCCCCTACAGTTTCGGGAGTTCCGCCCATGGGTCAATACGCCCATGGGGCAACCGAGCCGACTGTTTGATGGGTACAATGGGTACTTTTCGGTTTATCCGGCTTATTACCATTACTCTGTATTGACGATGATCACGTCTCCATGGACGGCATACCACCAACAAAAAACATTTTTTTTTATAAAAATAGAGGTGGCCCCATAGCGGATCTGTCTGTGTGTGTACATACAGACGGAGGATGCAGGGGCCAACCTGTGTGCGACCGGAACGGTGCCATTGCTGACCAATGTGACTGTGGATGGCGCACACGCTGACGCACACCAGGGCTGTGTCTTTGCGATGTAAGGCCATGGTGGATGGTGGAGCGTATATGGATGGTGCGTTACGAATAAAATTAAACAAAACAAACTGCTGGATCTGTAAGTGTGCCAGTGTGCGCTTATCGTGGACAGTGGTGCGTGCGGAAGTGAGGGTCATCTTTGGGTAAAACAAACACTCTCAACGAGTGAGAACATAGCTGGCGGTCACCTAGGGACTTGGTAGCGAGCAGGGTATAGGCACTGCGTGTATTATATATCTGTCGTGACAACGTTTGTGCGTCAGTCGGGGGGATTTTATCTGCCAGTACCCCTGTGCAACAGTACAGCGAGATATATTGTACAGTGCTTCAGATGTCACGAACTGAGAGGAGACGCGGTTTACATAGGCTTTCTGTCTAACGCGTCACGTTTGTGTACGCAGACTTCCAGATATCTGACGACAGGCACCACGATGACAACAAGCCGTGGTCGTGGAACGCGGAAAGGGTGCGTGAGCTGCTCAACTATTTCATAGTCACCGTCGCCAATTCTAACTACTCATCCCTATAGCAAGCGAAAGAGAGAGACACGAGAGGAGCTCGAGGGCGCTTTGCACAAAAACGAAATCGTAAATGCAACTCCTGCCGCGACCGAGCCGAAGGAGGTCAAAAGAGGTCAAAGATCGTCGCCGCAATCGCCGCCGAGTGAAGCGATTTCGGTTCAATAAGGCCATGCGAGAGCTTGACTTGGGGAATGTTATCGATGAAGGGCGCATAGAAACCAACGCT